GTAACTAACCATTGGAGGTGATGTCATCACCTTATCTACTGGTCTAAGTGAGAGGTAACTAACCATTGGAGGTGATGTCATCACCTTATCTACTGGTCTAAGTGAGAGGTAACTAACCATTGGAGGTGATGTCATCACCTTATCTACTGGTCTAAGTGAGATGTAACTAACCATTGGAGGTGATGTCATCACCTTATCTACTGGTCTAGGTGAGAGGTAATTAACTATTGGAGGTGATCTCATCACTTTATCTATTGGTCTAGGTGAGAGGTAACTAACCATTGAAGGTGATCTCATCACTTTATCTATTGGTCTAGGTGAGAGGTAACTAATTATCCACAGTTGAAAAAAATCATACTAGCCTAAACAAAAAATACAAAAACTAACTTTTTTTTTATCAGGAGTTCTGCCTTTTTTTCTTTCCACGCTATAAGGAATCTTATCTCCCCACAATCAGTTCAAAATCAGCTATTCAATACCTACTTGTGAAGCTTTTATGACATACACAACAGCACTAAAATAATGTATTTTTTAAAGACTTATAAAGAAAAGATAAAAATAGTGGTAGTTTATAGCTTGAGAAGAAGTGTCATTACAGTATTTTGTTAGTTTGGTTTAAGATTCAGGTGTACAGTTGTTAGGCTTTTATGAATCCTCAGCTCAACTAACCATCACAAGTTATTACTAGTAAAAGTAGCTATACACTTGGTTGATAAATTCCCAAGTTTTCATTTCATATCCTTGGCAGATTTTTAGGAAGTTTAGATAATCCAGATGTGTTAATAGATCATTTGATCTCTCTTTGCCCTGCTTGTGGTTTTATAATTTAATGTTTTACCTATGTGGTCAACAAAATATAACTGAAAAATAGGGTTTTGAAATCTCTCGAATATGGAAGATGCCACCTCAGACAATTCAGAAAGCCTTTCATTTGAATGTTTTTAGATTGAATCATGATTGGATTTCTCTTCTCAGTATCATAACCAGCCCATATTGGATTTATGTTCTTTTAGGGAGGTGGGGATCTATAAATCTTATGCCTGGACTGGGATCAGTATATCCAATACTTGAGAATTGGTTGTGTGAATTGAGAGGGGGGGGGGGATGGGAGTATCCCAAGAAAACCCACCTTCACTGATCAGGGGCTGAATACTCTACTTGACTACACTTGTTTATTTTTTAAAACTACAACTGTTAGTCTATGTGAACTTTAGATTTAAGTTGTACATTCTGTAGAATGTTTCAAGTTAGTGCATTACTACTTTTTTGCTACAAGTGATATTCAATTAAAAGTTTAGGTACATAAAGGGATAAAAAAATATTCTTTCTTTCAGCTGGGTTGGAGAGCAGTGAAAGAGAATCTACAGACAGCTCTGATGATGAAGTAAAAGTTAGTCGAGCAATTAGAAGACCAATTATCCACAATGTGGTTCATGAATCGAGTAAGTCTCAGCTCACATATTCACAATATCAAAGACCCATCCTAATGTAGCTAGAATACACACAGTATGAAAGGCACATTCTGGTACTTAATGTAGCTAGAATACACACAGTGTGAAAGACACTTTCTGGTATGTAATGTAATTAGAACTCACAATATGAGAGGTACTTAATGTAACTAGAATAGACACTATGTGAGAGACACTTCCTGGCATTTAATGTAGTTAAAATAGATACCATATGAAAGATACTTTTGGTAATTAATATAGTTAGAACAGTCACAATTTGAGAGGTACTTTCTGATGCAGCTAGAATGGACACAATATGAATGACACTTCCTGGTACTTAATGTTGTTAGAATAGGCACACTATGAATGACACTTTCTGGTACTTAATGTACATAGAATAGACATAATATGAAAAATGCTCTTGGTAAATAATATAGTTAGAATTGTCACAGTATGAGAGACTTTCTGATATTTAATGCAGCATGAATATACCCAATAGTACACAAATATACTCATTTAGTGAGTTGGGCAAGTAAATGGCAGATAGGTTTTAATTATAATAAATGCAAGATAATGTATGTGGTTTATCATAATTTGAATTATAAGTACAATTTTGATGGGAATAATCTTAACACTGTTATGAAGGAAAGGGATCTTGGTGTAATAGTCGATCAGTCTCTAAAGCCATCCAAGCAGTGTGCTGTTGCTAGTGGTAGGGCAAATAGGATTTTTAGGTTGCATCTACAGAAATTTGAATACAAGTCTAAAA